TTTTTTTTGCCCAGCTTTATTTTTGTTATACTGTTGTCACTGTTTTTGTGATCCAGCTAAAACTTATATGGTTTAAACAAGTGATATGTTTCCTTTTGGTTCATGTATCCAGATCAGCTTATTTAGCTAACACATGAGGTTTTATCATGGCTGACAGGACGGYTGTTGCAACTGTCCCAATACGATAAATCCTTATAAAAACAGAACAYGTAAAGATGATATTAAGATGTTGAAATTGAGTTTACACTTAAAAGGGTATTGGGTATTTATGATAATTTTAAAGTTTAAAACTTATAAGTGTTTAAGATGTATTTTCTGCAGTTGTTGTTTTCAACAATGGTTTTAAAATCTTAGTTTTTTCAGTGTAAATTTTGCATAAAATAGGCGTACAGTGACAATAGGCAAAATAAATGTTAATTGCCTCACAAATTGTTCTATTATTTTTGTTTCTAAAAACCAACTGTATTTTATATCAATTAGAGTCTTTGACATCTATATACAGTTTAAGGTCTACTCGTCAAAGCAAATCTAAGTTCGTCATTTAATTAAAAAGAATAAATAAATAACACTGTAATATTAAAACGTACAGTTCTTATTAATTTAGCAATAATATAAATATTAAAATTATAAAACTTTTATTTACAGTGAAATATATTGTATTATTATGTTGCAACCACCCCCAAACAATGACTTTTCATTTTCAAATGCAAATTGTGAAGAATGTACAATAATGGTTTTGACTATTAACAGACAGATGTAAGTTTATTGTATTAAAATTTGGTTTGTCTAATTCAAACCATCTCTGAGTAAAATGAGTCAAAWGCAAAACGTGTTGCAACTGTCCCCAGTCTCCCCTAAATTAAAAACAAACTGTCAGTCATATTAAATGAGTAGCTAATTACAKTTCTGGATGAAATTATTCTTTAAACCGGAAGCTTCAGGTTTATAGAAAGTGTCTTTGCTGGAAGGGACACATATTACTGAAGCAGTTGTTTAACATCCATTTTTGTTATCGGACATGTCAGCACGCAGTTTTCTGGGAGTTTGCCGACAGCCGTGGTTCTCCCACTGATGAGCGTTATTGGAAATATGGAGTGGAATTTGATGATCTCCGCAACCGAATCAAACATCTGAGGAGAAACAAGGTGCACAAGTTACAAAGAGTTAAAGCTTGGGAGGAAAAAAACAGAATCTCACACTGTCTGTTAGATCACTTACATCGTTTGAGCGTTGTCCTGTTCCCAGAGCRTATTTCCCAGTGGCTTCAACAAACCGAATTTTCACATTATAAACTTTCTTCTCATGATAAACAACCAGAACCAAGGGTTCACTGTYGGTGTTAATGGAGCAGTTTCTAACTAAAAACGCCCCATCCTAATGAAAGACAAGAAAAGGTAAAAAGAAAAAAAAGTGGACAGGTTATAACATATTCCTTGGTTTACCATTTCCCAAAGCCCAGTTACATTTGTTAAATGGTTGTTCTGGAAAATGGGGTAGAGGAATACAGCATGTGTTTAGAGCAGTGGTTCCCARACTTTTTATCTTCTGACCCACAAAATATCCATGGCAAAAACTTGTGACCCCAAATATTTGTCTGGTAATATCGGTCTGAGTACACGAACTTTGTTAATAACCCTAAAAACACAGGCTTTTTGACAATCTAAACAGCTTGTACACAAAT